TCGCCCGTTCAATGAGGTTCGTCCTATTAACGTTCGCTCGTTTGATGAGGTTCGCCCGTTCGACGAGGTTCACCCATTCGACGAGGTTCATCTTATTGACGTTTACCCGTTCGACAAGGTTCGTCCTATTGACGATGTTCATCTGATTTGCTGAGTTGCGACACTCGCGTTGCGAAGTAATGTGTCCATTGATTGTCTCTCCTTCAAGCATTACTACATGCAGCAGTTACAACAGCATTTAAATCAATTTATGTTACAATCATAATTATCATTATGATTTGTAATAGTCACATTGATTGTCGGTAACTCTTGAGCTGGCATTAGAGGCTTATAAATAACGCCTCTTGGGGCAGCTCTTGGATACATGAACGTGAGATCTCTTGTACACACGAAATATATTGAGCTATTGTGTTGTTGTTGCAGAAACTGTGCTCGAAGGAACTTTTCCTGAAACCGAAAGGTTTTGAACCAAAAGTTTCTGAGATCAAGGAGATCTTTACCTTGACCAAAAGCTCTTTAGATCGAGGAGATCTTGATAGTACTGGATTGGTGCACACCAAAGTGCTGTATTGTTGTTCCTGAAAGTAGTTTGGTCTTGGGATCCTTGCACCGGGGTAGGCCAAATATTGCTTTAAGCGCAGTGTTTTTCAAACGCACAGGAGTTAATTTTAAAAAAGTTTAAAATTACAGCACATCAACTTTCGCTGTTTTATTCCAGATTTAACAACAATCTCCAACATAATCTTGTAAGGAAATGATTAGAATCAAAACAGTATTGTGGCTACTTATCATGAACAAATTGCTTAGCTAAAGAAAACAAGACAGAACAAAATGATACGCATGATATGATAACAACTCTATGTCCGTGAATAACGCCAGCTTAAGTTGTCAATTTGGAGAGTAAATCATATATAATAACAATTTATTAGTAGAATTAAGGAGAAGATGTCGGTTAACAAAAAAAGGTTTTAAAACTAAATTCCATCTTTTTCTGTCTAGGACGAAAGATTTATGTTGAATGTATTAAAAATAATTACAGCATTTACACTCACATTGAAATGGTCAACAATAAATCCTTAGTAAAGTAGTAACTATACTGATTGTATAGAGTTTTGAATTGCAGAAAAGAGTATAATTGTACCAAAGCTCCAAATTAAGATAACACATGTGACCAAGACCATTGACCTTTGGCGACATGTTTTGGACCATTGATCCAAGTTCTCATATGAAAAAGCATTTTTTAGCTTTTATCACCAAACTACTCTCACTCTCAACCTCTCATCTCCTTTTTTTTCATAAACCTAGGAACTATTTTACTCCTCCTCCTCCTCAACCATCAGTGGCAGATCTACAACATTTTTGGTAGTGGTTCAAAATATACACTAAATTTTTTTCTCAAATAATAGCAGGTGGGAAAAAAATGAAGGAAGGGTTATTAAAGAGAAAAACAATCATTTTTAAACAATGATTTGACTTATATATATAAGAAACAAAAATATTTATAGAAGGCCTTAAAGAGATAGACAGAACAAATGGATAAAATGAAAGGAAAAGAAGAAGAAGAAGAAGAAGAAGAAGAATAGAGGAGAGGTAAAAGGAAAGAAGCCTAAAAGAGAAATTTTCGAAGGCTGGATGGTTTGAACTCCAGACCTCTTACAAAATGTTACCAACTGCAATACCACTAGGCTATAGGGAACTTTTGTATGAGGTGGTTCAAGTGAACCACTTTGAACAAGGGTGGGTCCGCCACTGTCAACCATTATCTCTTTCACTGCCATCTTCACCATTGCATCATCCTTCTCTTTCTTCTCGTCAATTGACAATAATTACTTTTTCGCCATCACGACAACTTCTTTGCATTTTCATCTTTTCTCAACCATCTCTCCTACTCCTCCCATAACCACCACCGCATCACTCAAAGATCGTCTCCTTTGACTAAATTTGTTATCCTGTAAAGGCACGCCGAAGTTATTACTTAATAGGATGTTAACATCTAAGGCTTACAGCTACGCTCTAACAATGAAGTTAGCACGTGAAGTCTAAAGTTAACATCTAACAATTTTAAAACTTTTATATTAATATAAAAAATTAGACGTTAAGTTTATACCTCTTATGTTAACATTAGACCTCACATGTTAACTTTAGATACCTTGTCAATTTTAATTATTAAACGTTAACTATTGTTAGAATTAATATAAAACTATAATCATTGATCAGCTTCGGAGTTTTGGTGTAATTGTTAGAGGAACTATATTTAAGATGGTATCAGAGCAACTCAGGTTCAAATCCCACCTGTCACAAATTAAGAGCGGGTTTTCTAAAAATTGACACCGTTGTGTGAGTCCAGGTTTCGACCCATAAAAGAAGAACGCTCAACCTGCGGGAGCATGTTAGAATTAATATAAAACTATAATCATTGATCATCACCATAACTTTAGAGTTTTGGTGTAATGGTTAGAGTGACTATATTAATTATAAAGTTTAGATGTTAACTTTATCTATTAAATGACTTCAGTGTGTCTTTAGGAAAACGTTATTTTAGCCAAAGAATATGGTTTTAATAGATGAGACAATGATTATGAAAGTACAGAAAAATGGAAACGGAGAAAGAAAGAGGAATGAAAGTAGAATGGAAGAGGATGGATGGAAAGAAAGATGACTTGAGATGGGTTAGAGGAGATATGATAGAGGTGGATGAACAAAGGAGGAAGGATGGGGGGAAAAAAAAAAGAGGGACGAGGACGGAGGAAGAACGGAAAAAAGAGAAGCGATGAGAATAAAGTTAGATGAAGGAGTGAAGAGAGAGGAGGGTGAGCATAAAAGAGAAGAGAAGGGATGGAATGGAGGAGAAGGGAGGAGGGTAGAGACAGGAGAGAAAAGAGGAGGTGGAGTGGAGAAAGAGGGCTAATAGAAGAGGAGGAGGAAGATAGGGTGTATTCTAAGGATGTAAGAAAAAAAGAGGTTGAGGAGGGCCTCTTCAAATGAGAAATTGGGTCAAAGGGAACACATGGCCAAAAAATCAATAGGCTTGATCACATAATGATTCTTAATTTAGGACCTAGATACAATTATTTCTTACAGAAATCATCCAAAGGCCCAAAGAAATGGCTCATAGATTAAATAATGTTTCTCAATGAATGATATCTTTGGGGGTTTTCTGTATTCAGAATTTTGAATTACTTATTTTCGTAGAATTGCTTTCCCTGAAGCTCTTGAACTATTTCACTTCATCAGCAACTACAATGGTGAAAATTCACAACAGCAATAAAATACGTAGGTCACAAGATGTTATATTCAAAATACATAAAATTGCATTCATCAATTCCATGTGTGAGATAGGAAACAAGAACAACTCAAAATATATTGGCACAAACACCTTACTATTTGATTTCTATCACTCTTTATATAAAAAGAGGCTTTTTCGTGTGTCATGTAACACTTTCTTAATAGTAGTCAAAAGTAAAATCCAAAGTAAGCTGAGTAGATATTGGCAGAGTGCGGATGGTTGGGTGTTTGATCCTTGGTATCATTAATTTGGCCCTATGGGACAGACAAGGGATTGATAACCTCTTTAATAATTTCAAATTACTCCCTCACAATATGGTCTCTCAATGACCAAATCAATGAGTAAATATTTGATTATAGAATGACTACTAGAATTTCTTCTGAGAAATTTTTTTCCTTAACAATTACACTCATCTTTAGTTGAACTTTTACAGTGCAAACCATAAACTTGATGATTCAAATGAAAAAAGATAAAAATGCAAGAATTCATCAAATATACGACAAAGTAGAATTTTATATTAGTCCATCAAATCTTTTAATTTGTTCATGATCCCCTCTAATTCCAATGGGCCTCGCAATTTGGCCCTCAATGTCAAAATCAATTTACAGTCAAAATAATAATTAAAAGAATTTAAAATCATATATTGAGCATATATTTGATTATAGAAAGAAACAAAAGCACTTATAATCAATTTATTAAAACTTCTGGTGAAATTTATTTTCCTTAACAATTACACTCATATTTAGTTGAACTTTTACAGTGCAAACCACAAAGTCGACGATTAAAATAAATAAAAAATATTAAAAAATGCAAGAATCCATCAATTGTATAATAGAGCAATATTTAGACCGAAAGGAAACATATCTACTTATTAAGGAAAGTAAAGTATAAAAAATTATGACAACATATACTTACAAAAGATTAATAAAATTTGTGAATGTTACATTATCTCTCGTATCTTAATGTTCCTGAAAAAACGAAATATATACTACGCTAACAAGTTTAAAATATCCTCTAAATTATCAAAATTAGTTCTACATGGTTCATCTAAATCTACACTACATCAACAGAGAGAGAGCATGCGCATTGCACTTGCCCTCCTCACTAGTCTATATTAAAAAAAAAGCCCCAAGGTCTCAAGAGTTTTGCGTAAAAAACTTAGACAATTTTACCCCTACTAAGTTACAACAATCACGAACACAGCCAGTTCGGCAGAAAATCTCTATTCACAACCCCCCAATAGACGCACGTGCTAGCAATCCACCAAACACTCGGACAAGAGTGTCTCACGTGCTCTTCAAGTCTTCAAGCTTCCTCAATCTCAATCTCAATCTCAAGATAAAGCTGTGGTCAACCAACCTCGTCACGAATAACGCCGTGCATATGAGGCAGCTGCGACCCCCTTTTTTACAAAAATATTAGTTCTTTCGCATATTTAATATTTTGAGATTAGTCGCTCAACTAATTGAAATTGCTGTTAGTCCCACAATTTTGTTACGTTAGTTCAAAAATATTCCTCAAATTATTGAACTTGGCATCAAGTTCCTCAATTCTCATAGGGTGTGTTTGGGAATGTTGATTTGGGCTTGGATTTGAAATTCTGGGTATTTCAAATCCAAATTTCATGTTTGGGCTCAATTTTGGGCCATGATTTTAAATCAAGTCATTTTATACAATGGATTTGAAAAGCCTAAAAAGATGGATTTCAAATTTGGGCACCATACTAGGAATTTGTCAAATCCTCACCCACGAAATCCAACCCAAAAAAAACCCCGACTCCTCTTTTTCTCCTCTCTCACGCCGCTCGTGTCAAAGTCCCGACTGCGAACTCGATCTCCATCTCCATCTCAAAGCTCGATCTCGATCTCGATCTCGGTCTCGATCCATCGTAGGTACCTCTCCTCTCTCCCCTTCTCCTCTCTCGGTTTCGATCTCGCCCTTTACTCCTCTCTCTCTCTCCCTTCCATCGAAACCCTAAATCTGATCTGACTTGGATTTTCTCTTTTGTAGCTTGTTTTCTCCTCTCTTTCGGTTGCTCTCCTCAAACTTCTGCAGTTTCTGATTGGGATTCAAGGTATGACTTCAATTTTTGCTGTTTTTTAATTTTTATTTTTTTTTTGGTTGGTTTTTGGGGATCTGAGGATGTGAGATTCCTTTGTTTGGGGTATCTGAGTGTGTTATCATACTGTTTGTAGAGTTCTGTTGGTAGATTGTGTGCAACAGTTTATGGATTGTTGAGAAAATCAGTACTCAAATGACAAAATAATATCCATAGCTCTATTTTCTTGATGCGGGTGATTCTAGTCATAGGTGAGTGATGCTTGTGGAATAAGAACTTGATGGTATGGTGGATGCCACGACTGTTTGAGTTGGCAACAACTCACTTCTCACTGATTCTTTAGTTTAATTCAGGTTGCATTTATGCTGGTCTTGTACTCTCTCTTATTCCAGTTGAAGCAACAAATTGGAGAGTATCCATGTTTTCCTGATTTTTTTTTCTTTTCTTCATTTGTAACTGTATTTCTTTGTCCTGATTTGATGAATCCGTACCTGAAAAATTTCAAGACACTCACTAGATTTTATGAATGTTACTTTTATTTAGTGTTCTCAATAGCATTCCATCTTCTCATAAACAATACAGTTACACAAACAAAATAGCATACCAAACATTCTTCATAATTCACTGCACACACTGGTAGATTATGGCTCATACATACTCATAGAAGCATCAAAACCTCAGATAACCGATAACCTCTCTCTCAACATTGAACTATGGACATTTGGACCTCTTTCTCTTGCCAGTACCGGTAGTCTTATCCCTGTAGCATGGGCATTTGTCCTTGTTTCCATATGTTCCGGGGGGGGACACAGTGGCATTCCTCACAACAAAGCCCGCAGTACTGGAGGCACTTGTCTTGAACGCTTGCCTTTGAGCACCTCACCTTGCACTTGCCATCACAGAAAGCTGTACGCATGACAACATAATTGTTAGGAGTGTATTTGATCTATTCAGTTGATGTGTGGGTTATGAGACAGATATATGACTAAATATGCTTGAACTCATGACTCAAGTATGTTTGAGTCAATCTGGATTCAAGTAGATTAGCCATGGGCACTAAACACGGAAAACGTAAGGGAGTAGCTGTTTTTAGTTTAGTTACCTGAGCCAGCCATGGCAGCTTGGAGGCAGGAACATGTCAGGAGGAGGAAGAGGAGTGGCAGTGCAGGAGAGAGCTTCTTCATCTTTGATCAGCTGTTGTGTAATGAAGTTCTGGTTTGTTTAGTTACCTGAGCCAGCCATGACAACATAATTTGCAGAGTTGATGCTTTTGGGTTTCATATTCCATGCAAGCATGTGCTCTGCCACAGTTTGCACGTTTTATTCACTCAAACAATAAAACCTGTAACTCAATTTAATTAATTACCTGTCGACCATCTAGTTAATATATACTAGCTAGTGCTACATTCCATTCACTTGCCAGTCTGGCAGCAGCACGAACACGCAGGTCTCGGTTTGAATCTAAATCTCTGATAATAACAAAAGGGTGCATATGACTTTTTCTGATGCTGTTTCCCACATGCATGCCCATGACATCATTTCTCCATCTAATGATTAAATCCCCCTCTCTTCACACAGACACGTTACAAGATCAAATTAAGAAACTAAGTTAATGTACTATTTTCTTTATGCATACACATGTTCAAATAAAAAAAGTTGTTGTGACGTTGTCATGTTTCAGCGTCTTACTTGGGGGAATAGTCATGTCCTCATATTTGCATCATGTTATGTTCTCAACTTTGTATCCTTGGTTCTCAGTAGGAGTTTAGGTGTGGTGTCAATTAGTTTCAGAAGGTAAATTGAATTTTAAGTTAGTCTTGTTCATTATTTATTAAGTTATCTGTTGTTGTTAAGATTTCTATGTCTTGAGTTGTTTTTTCTTAGGACTTCATTAAATTTGCATCCTGCTAAATATATATTCAGGATATATGTGTAATCTGCTTGCATGTTCTCGTCACTGACACACTGTTGATTCACTGATACACTGCCAATTGTTGTATGATGCATTCGACTTGGTAGCAGTCAAGTCACATTTGGGAACAAATGGTCCAGTCTTATGCTTTCTAGGGGTTGTTTCTTTACTTGAAATAACCATCATTGTTTAGTAAAACCCCATTTTAGATTCTTTAATTTCTAGTGTAAATATTGATGATTTCTTGTTTATTATGAAGGGGGAATGGTCTTTTCCTATTACAGGCTCTTCCTTGTTTTAGGTGTTTCAAAAACTGAACTATTGTTTGATGTTACAATTTCAAGTAAAACACTTTGTAACTATAAAACTGAACTATTGTTTGATGTTACAATTTCAAGTAAAACACTTTGTAACTATATGTATATACTGGATGAATCACAATCTTTTAACTCCATGTTATTTGCGAGTGCAGGACAGCAAGCATTTTATTTACTTCAGGACTATTTGCATTATTGCTAATTATCATATCTGATGGTCTAACAGTGAACCTAATTAATCCAGTAATTGGTCTCTCCCTTCAGAATTTCTAATGATTCTCCTTGTATATTGTTTGATGTTTTTTTATAATGTTAGTCAGAACATTAGGTGAAGAGCTGTGGTATGAATGATCAAGCCCTTTTAATTTTCACATGAGGAGCTAGGGGTTAGGTTCGGCAACCGAACAATATCTCTATTTGAAGAAAAAGTGACAACAACTGTCAAATTGAAATAGAGGGTGGGTTGGTTGGGTTGGTTGTTTTTGTGAACTTACTATTTCTTCTATTTACAAGGAAAAGGCTGAACCATCTTGATCATTTTTAATTAACTGATCCTTGGTTAATGTTGTTGTTGCTTATCTAACATTGTGCTTAGTATTTTAATTGGACAAGAGGATAGTTAGAACGCTTGAATAGGTAGCAGTCAAGTCACATTTGGGAAATTATCCTTGTTACTTGCTGTGTTGCCAGGTTTGCTGAAGCTTTAAGGTAATGAATCCGATATCAGGTGAACCGGGATGTCAGTTTGGGGAATGAAACAGAATTGGTATCAGAACGCTATGTGTAATAATTAAGATCTTATTTTTGCTAGCTAGCCTTCATTCTGTTTTGTTGATACTCTGAAGTCTGTTATTGCCATTATTCTGTTTTGTCTGATTCTGTTTGCTGGGTTGTACTGTGCTTGCCCTTTAATATTCACGATGTAATTAATATATGTATTTTTGCCAGCTAGCCTTTCATTGCGGTGTCTGATTCTGTTTTGTTGATATTCATTTGATACTGGTTTGTGTTCTTCAATGAGCATGGAATAATCACGATGTAATTAATACATGTACGTGTTACTCTACTATTTTGTGATAATATATGGTAACAGACTAATAATGGCCATAAGCATCTGGTAATATATGGTAGCAGAGATCTGCATTTGATGTAAACAAGATGGGTTAAGAGAATAAATTTTTATCAATTTTAAATTCAAATTCATGTATAATAAAGTACCCAAACACTAGATTTTGAAATCAAAGATTTCAAATCCTTTCATTTAATAAAGATATCCAAACAAAAGATTTCTTAAATCATGGATTTCAAATCCTAAATTTAAAATCCCTTGATTTTAAATCAACTTCCCAAATCCAAATCCAAGTTCCCAAACGCAGCCATAAATAATTCTAGAGTAGTCTTTAAATAGCGCGATGACAATGACGCTTTCATTACACGAGACAAATCCCATTGTCGTCTACTACTGCATTGCAAACAGGGATGGAAAAAAGACGCCGTTGGGCAAGATGACTGGCTGAAGAATCCCTTCAAGGAGAAACAAGGTCCCTCAAATCCTAAGAGGCCTTGCAATTTGGTTCTTCAATGACCAAAGTACCCCTCAATTGCACGTGCAACGCACGTACCCTCCTTATTAGTATTATAAAGAAAAATACAATACGATTTCATGCCATGGAAATGTGAACAAATTGAAAGCAAAGTGGAACAGAGAATAAGCAGCTTAGGGTAAATATTACAGACAAGTTCGTGAAACCCCAGCATAAAAATGAAGAGCACTGGGATTCTCATGTAATGGTTTGCTCATTTTACGAACAAAATTTCATTAAGCCGGACAACCTCAGAAGTATATCTAATATGAAATTACAATATAGAAATGAACTGAAACCGTGCTATATGTCGATACTTACTAATCAGGTGACAATTATTCCAGTCAGTCTACGGCTCTTGTTGTGAACTGAAGCTATGTCTGATCGTGTTGAGAACCTTATAATACTATCTCGTTAATGAAGTAGCTCAAGTAATTCAAGTATCAGAGTTCAAGATGAAGTTTCTCAAAGCAGATAATAGCGATTACAGGCCCTGCGAAGTCTCCAAGAGCACAACCTGTTGAAGTACATAGTTAGAAGATAGTTATTTGCTGGATCATAATAAAAGATGGTGCAAAAAGAAGTTATTAAAAATTATAGAGGTACCGCTTCAAGATTCTATGGAAATTGATCCCAGCGATTCTTTTCACTCGAGAAAGACATTTGTTGCAAAGAACAAGAATTTAGTAGTCCTTAATTCTTTCTCGCGCGATACTTTTCATATATTAACTATTTTAATAAATATAACAGCAGAACTCCATTTGAGACTTTTCCAACATATTAAACGATCATTATCCTTCCATGTTTGAGCAAGTGTCAAGACAGATTAAATTGTTGACCACATCAGAGAGATCAAAATGATCAACACGGAAAGCTACATTAGCTCCAACAATCCAATGCCTAATACGAAGTAGCATGAATGAGCATAGATGAGAGTAGGAACTTAAAAGAAATGACTTGGTTGATTTAATTCTGAAGACCTTCAGGTTCTTATTGCAAGGTAAGTAAGAGGAGATTTGAAGTAATCATAATTTTGCTTCTCAGACTCATAGGTACTTGTTAAGCCATCCACCTATGGGTGCTACCTCTTAAATATTGCCTATCCCTGGAGATTATGAGAGCTAGTTGGCCTTGCAACACCTTATTAGAGCTAGTTGGCCTTGCAAAACCTACACTCAAAGAAGCGCTAAAAGCTGAATACGATCTTGATGTTATCATGTTTGCATCAAACAGAACAAATATGCTTTGTGCTAACGATAGTTGGTTTATTTACTTAAGAGTACCAGTCACTGATGATCCTTGGATCGAGGGTCTGAATTGCAATAAGCTTGAAGGGGTATGTATCAGTGCATTAGAGAGGTCTTCTCATTAGGAGAAAGTTCTTCCTATTTGTAAGGTACTTAAGCAAATCTATTGTTTCCCTTTTCCTGGCCAGAATTAGTTAAGCATTTTTATTTTTGATTATCAGATTGATTGAGTTCTACTGGTATGTATGATTATATCCATCTTTGATGTTCCGGCTTGAAATTGCGTTCAAGCAAATCTAGACATAATATTTTTACAACATTGCAGTAGATTCTAAAGGAATTATTTCAAAATATCTTTAACTTGTTAGCTACGAAAAATAACCATGAGTAAGATTGTAGTTAGCTATGAACTATATAAGAACTCTGCCAAACATTTGTTGTCAACCTTATGAAGAAACATAAGAACTTGATTTATCTCGTTTGAATCAACATAAACCAACAATAGATAAAAGAAAGAGTATATGGTGTAATTCTAAAGGAATAACTTCCGTCTGAAGATTAAGAAAAATCTGCACCAGCAGATCACATATATCTCAGTGATTTTAACCCAAAAAGCTTTGTTTATAGAAAGTGATGTTGAAGGATGATAAGGTGACCTATGAAAAGAAAGGAATTTTAAACAGGACTTAAGTTGCTTACCAATCCATTGGCCAGTTGAAGGATGAAACAGAGCACCAATTCCTGCTCCAATGGACGCAAAGACTAACGATGATCCACACTTGATAGTTGCACTGCAGACCTTTTTCCCTAGAAGTCTGATTTTTTCTTTTCTATCACTGTCATCATCATCAACATCCTCATTTGCAGGGTTGCGTACGAAGCATCTGTAGGCCTCAATTATGATTTGGACAACCCATGATGCAGCAACACCTAACAGATGTCCTATGGAGACCAAAGAATAATCAGTGAAAATATAAATGGCAGAGGGGAGCAAGTTACCATGACAGAATACAACCTCTGAAAGTAGTTTTGCTGACGCCGTAAACAAATAATGTAGTTGGCATTCCACGTGCAGCCTTGCGCTTTGCCGACTTAGGAACATCTGAAAATAATGATGTCAGTTGGTGAAGATAATATGATTTTCCAAAAAGTAAATTTGAATATTGCAACATATAAACATTTTCTCTAGAAAAATTTGCTTAAGTATCAGATAATGCTGCTGCTGATGCTACTAAAAATGGCATCATATCTGATGAATTAGGCTCTAAGTTCATGAGAGAAGGAAGGGGGGGGGGGCATTAATTACACTCTCGTTACAAGATCATTATGACGGTGAAGGAGGAAAAGTTCGTTGGCGTTGCAAGCGTAGTAAAAGCTTGAAACGAAGATAGACAAGCACAGTTTAATCTATAGTAATTAGTAAATTTAGAAATTCAATACAAATAGAATGTCCTTTCTCAAATTTTAGAAATATTTGCAGTTGCGGAGAAGATGGGTCTCTTTAAAGTTTCTTATTGGTAGCAACCGCTTCTTCCATTAAAATAAAACATTTAATATGCACTTGAAATTGGCTTAAATATAGTAACAAATAAGTAGAAGGGGAGCAAGAATACACCAAGATGGTGGAATCAGAGACGGACAGAAGTGGTGGAAGAAAAAGAGGGGGCATTGACAACAGTGTTTTCAATGCGCGAGGCGCAATGCGGGGCGCAAAGTCAGTTTACGCGCACATGCGCAAGGCGCAATGCGATGCGCGCGCCCGAGCGAAGCGAGGCGCACTTGGTGAATTGAAGTATATCAGCCCCTTGTACCAAAACACATATATGCATTATGCAACAAAATTGATATATTTACAAATAATATAATATATAGATTTAGTAAATTGAAGTATTAAACTTGTACGTTAATTTTCATTTAATCATGCAAATTATTAAAACTTTTATACTAGTATATTGCATCACTAACAACTATATTGCTAAATTTTATTTTCCTTCTTTACAGGTTACAAACGGCGAATCAAGTTTCAAGTTTCAAATACTAGCAACCGCACTGCACCTAGCTCAAATAGCAAGAATCAATACTCGCAGTATCGCACGGGAAATCAAATAGTAGCACTAGCACTACATCAATAAGCTTGAAAATTTTCAACAATTATGACTGATATGTATTAATAAGAAGCAAACAATTAGTTCACAATATCTTGACTCTGTGTATTGATATTAAGCCAAAGGAAAAAACAGTTAACACTTAACAGTCAAGAGCGATAATAATAAAAAATTAAATTAAGAACTAATATGAAATCACGTTTAGAATCTTTAGATGAGTGAACTTAATTAAGAACTGAAGCAGTGAAGCTTTAAAGAGTGAAGATACTACAAATTTATAACTAATTCATTAATTTTCATTCTCTCTTAACAATTAACAGTCAATAAGTTACAACCCAGTTACCCAAATACACTATCATGTAAATTTATAGAACTAAGTGGATAAAACAACAATCAAATTTCCGTGAGAGCAGCTGCCAGTGTGCCACAATAGCAACAGTAACAACATTTTTACTGTTAAAATACAAAACGAAAAACCGCTCCTTTTTCGTGAGTGGAAAACAAAAAGAAAACCACTGCTTGTTTTTCGTGAGTGGAAAAACTTATAAAATCTGCTCGGTGAAGATAAAAAATGAGAGCTACTGCTTCTTTTTGGCAGCTGGAAAACAAAAAGAAAACAAATAGCAAGGAGAAGAGGAGAAGGACAAAAATAAAACAAAATAAAACTGGAAAACAAAAAGAAAGCAAAAAGAAATCGGAAAACAAAAGAAAACTAGAAAAAAAGAGAAGAAAAACCTGTTGCCGCTTGCCGTCGCTGCGGTTCTCCCCGTCTGCGATCGCCGTTGCCAGTCGTCATCAGCGTCGCCCATCGCCGTCTGCTGCTGACCGGGACCGCTGCTTCTTTTTGCTTTCGGAGAAAGAGTTGGAGAAGGAGCGACAAACCTAGCTATTGCTTCTTTAGCTTTCGGGTTTAAATGGAAATCGGGTATGTACCCAATAACCCATTGCTTGGGCCTATCTGATGCCTGAGGCGCTCGCTTTGGCGCTTCCGTCGGGCGCTGCGGGGCGGTCCTCAGGCCCGCGCCCGCGAGGGGGGGGGGGGGGGGGGGGGGGGGGGGGGGGGGGGCGGGGGGGGCAACTGTAGCACCCCGCACCTGCTGCGGGGCGCTATTCCATTGCGCCGAAGCGCCTCGCGCCCGAGGCGAGCGCCTCATTGCGCCTTTAAAATCACTGATTGACAACCATGTTGCTGTAGAAGATGGTGAGAAGAACAATTATGGTGGAGAAGGGGAGGATATACAGTAAGGGTTCAGGAGGAATAGAGATACTGAATGTGACAGCGAGGTGCCTAGCTGGGGTGAATAAAGTGACAATGCTCTATGGACGGTGGTTTCATTCTAGGATTCAGATTCTGACAACTTTGATTGTAGAGAAAGTCCTACAATTAGCTATCTAGATAAGTAATATCGGTTCATTCAGCGGGTCCCACAATTAAAAGATATTTTATATAAATTATGTAAACAATATCATTCACGGCGTCCACATATTGAAAAGATGTTAGTGCACCATAATCAAATGGACAAAATAACCAATTCAACCTTAAAGTGTCAGTGAACGCTCAACTTCTTCCCTACAATATCAATTTGCCTATTTTCCACCTTAAACTTTGTGTAAGTGCCCAAAGTGTTCAATTTGTGAGTCCGTAATTAAATGTTTAACAAATCTATGCTGACATCGTTTTTTAGCATTTCTTCATGAGTTTTTTAGTTTGTCCCCTTTTTTCCCCAAACCCAAAAATTTTCCAGCTACTTTCCTCCAAAATTTTATCCTTATCCCTTTTCAAATTGAAAATTCATTTTTTGAATTGCAAAAAGTACAAGAAATGTATAAAAACACATATTGTCATTGATCTGCCAAATATTTAACCATGGGCTAAGAAAATGACCACATTGGACACATACACAGAGTTTAACGGGAAAATAGGCAAATTGATACTTGAGGGGAGAAATTGAGTATTCATCAACACTTTAAGGGGAATTTGGTCATTTTTCCTAATCAAATTGTAGAATTTCTCCACAATCAAGGACGTAGAGGATCTCCGTATAAGAACGAAATAGACTGCAACCCTAATTTAATTACTTAGAAGAACAAGTGAAAATTTTGCACAATGTATGACATAAAAGTAAAAGCAAAAAACAAGATTATAAGGGATACTTAAATAAAAAAATGTGAATTTTGCACTCACGGCTAGCTCTATAGAAAATTGAGGAATTGTGTTATGGGATGTCTCGAGTTCGAGAAGCGAATACGACTTTTCAGTTTTCTAAAACAAGAAAAAAATAATTGTGCTATTGGGATGTTAAATATGTAGACAACGATTCAAACATAGGAATAAGTATTTAGTATTTACAAAATAATTGACTTGATAAGTAACAAATTTGCAATGCATGGGAAAAATAAAACATAAAGAGAATGTTGATTAATTAGGCAAATGCATATAAGGGAAGTAACCTATTTGTTGAGATAATTTAAAGTCAAGAATGTTTAATCTAAAGTTAAGTCTTACATTTAATATTTTTGTCTCTTACTAATATTTTCTTTAAAGAATGTTAAAGAGTTAAGCACATATTACTTATCTGAACTATGGCAAATCCTACAGCTAGTGCTTCGTACTATAATCGGTCATTTATATTATGTGATTGACATGTTAAAAGTTTTTCATCAAAATTGTTACCACCAAAGCATACGACTTCCTTAAACCTAATTTTCTTCAAATTTAATTCTCTTATTTAAAACTTAAGTATTTAATCTAGTTTTAACTAAACTAATCCTAGTAATAACTCGAAAACTAATCAAACTACACCACTGGAACTAGCACCACCATCACTCTCCTTCACTGCCTCAACTCATTGTCATCCTAGCTATATTCCAATCATCATTCCCTACTCTTTCCATCTCCACCCAGGCCTCTCTCTTACATATTATCACTACCACATTGTTCCATTATTGATTGAGAAGTAAATTTGGTTTTAAAAAAAGTTCTGGTTAGCAAAGTGACTATTTACTGGTGATGGGTAGGAAGAAGTTAAAATGGGATGAAAGAAGATGTACTAAGGTTTAGATTGTATTAAATCTTTAGGTTGTGATGGAGACAATATGGCGATGTAGCTTATAAGTAAGAGGATGGGGATGGCAACGTACTAGAGGCAAAAGTGGAGGAAAGGTTGTCTTAATAAAAATTCAATTTAAAGTAATATGTTTTATTAACTCTATCTAAAATGTAGGATTGGAATTTGAAGTATGAGTGGTTTAATTTAAATGGAACTATTTCAAGGAGATTACATGCTTTCTACGCAATCCAATTTAGATGAAAAGCTTTACCCCCTCAAATGTAGAGGGCAAAATGGAAGGGATCCTTGTATAGGGAAATACAAATAAAATCACCCTAATATTGGAACTGAACAATAGTTAACCAAGTATTAAATAAGGATTACATAAATATAACCATTGTTTAATATATAGATGATTATTTTATTATGTACTTATTGTAATTTATTATGTTCGAACAATATATCAGTTACAATTTATTTATGAAAGCAGGTTACCCTATTATCATTCCTTGCTTTCAACTTCCAAGAGATAGGTTCTAGGTTCAATTATGCAAGAGTTGATGAAGGATCAGCTTGGATTAGTAAAATGTGTGTCTTTAGAAAAAGAAAGCCTTCATTTATTTTAAGAAAGATGTAATAAAATCGTTATTAGCCATAATTTTATGATATTTTGTTTAAAATGAATACATAAGCTCTACACTTGCATTTGCCATAATATATTTTTTCCCCTAATAAGATGTGATAAATCAATTATTAAGCGAAGTTTGAAAATATCCCATTGGGGGAAGGCCTAAGGCTGAAGACAATCACCAGAAGATACCGAAGGGTTTTGTTCACGACGACAGGTATTGTTCACAACGAACAACCCCTGCGGTACTATTAACTACTATTCTGTTCACAATGAAATAAAAAGATAATACTATTCACAATGGACAATGACACTCACTATTCATAATGAACAGTAAAACATGGGATTAGTTTTTCTTTTCTTTTTTTTGTTTTTTGTTGGTTAGGGTTTGTGATTGAAGATTCAGCGAACATTTGGGAATCAATGATGCAAATGGATTTAAAAAAAGAATAAAAAAATCTTATGTGATGTCAAAACCACCAAAGGGAAGTGTAAACAAGACATAGTAGAAAAATGCCTCGACAACCCCAAAACTAAGAACGACTAGAAAAGTCTATAGATTTGATAACTTAGCTCTGATACCACGTAGAGAAAGAGAGAAGACAAAATCATTTTCCCAAAAATCCTGACCTCTTTTCAATAGAGATTAAGAGAGTTACCTAAGCAGATATGAATACTGACCTTAAGTATCAAAGTATCAAAATACCCAAATAGCTAACTATTAATAACATCTAATAATATAAATGTTAAAATATCCATAAAAACACCTCAAAAATTGTAGTCCGATCTCTTCTTCCTCTCTTTCTCTCATACATTCTAAAAAAAATAAAAAAGAATTTTATTGTTGAGCAAATTTTACACAAAATTAAAACTTACGCGTGAAATTTAGCCCTAAATTTTCACAAGCCCTTTAAAATAGAAAAAGCACAATAATACTCACATGCTTCAAAATACTTTTTTATCTTAAACTTTAAACATAAAAATACTAAGAATTGATATCTTGCGAATATGCTATTTAATTATAATTTATTTTAAATATGTTAAGTAGGCTTTAAATTAAACTTTTTATGAGTAATAAATATAGCTTTATTAATTTAAAATCTTTTAAGCTAGTCACTTTATGTTTTGCATTATTAAATCCAAAGTTGCACGGGTACGATCAAGATGCAGCCATGTGCAGGTGCAGGACACGAAAGATTTGTAAAAGCTAGGACACAACTATGTATATACATATTAATATTTTAATTTACATGAGATCAATTTTTTCACATGTTAGGAAAACTGAAATTCCTATAATAATTTTATGTTTCATATATAAAGTAGATTATAAATTGGAAAACCGCTCATTTTTTTAACTAGATACCTACACAATGCTTTATAATCATACTTCTGTACTAAGTATGATCAACAAATCCGACCTGTGTCCCTGCTGCACAAGTTGTAGGAAGTGGACGTGAAGTATAAGGTATATGTTCAAAAAGTGTATAATAAGTGTTTTAAAATTAAAAATTATTATATAATTGAGTGCGCATCTGAATAGATGTATGTACATTCAAGGAGTGTCGAAGTTGAACACGTCAAAAACGAGTAATAGAGCCTACTGGAATAACTTATTTAAATCTAATCATGTGCATTATGCACGTGTAACTGAACTATCATACAATGATAAACATCCACAATAGTGTTTCCTTTTCTATTTGTTTTCATATATATTGCATAGGATTCCCACTAGAATATGCATCTGATAAAGGTCTGTTCAGGTTTAGACTCATAGCCTCATGAAATTTGTAACAGTGCCAAGTCAAAGAAATCATAAATCAAATATTATGCTACGGAATAGTAGAATCAAAAGAGTAACTTAGATTTCATACACATCTATACACACACATACATGCATTAAAACATCATAGCATTGCGACGTAAAGGACAAGTACCTTTGAGGAGTTTCCATGCCATCCTTTGTGAAACATGATGAACAACAAGTCTTTCTAATATCCTTCTAGTGGTCACGACAGCAGTCTGGATAATTGAAATGCAATTAGTATGTTTTAACCAATAATAATATGTACTAAATAATTCTTATACGTTCTTATGATGATAAAATGAAACATAAATTATACGGTTAAAGGAAAGTTATATGCTATATCACCCTTCAACTACATCAAATTAGACCTAATCCCGTGTTTAGGAGCTTAGTACTTCTTAGTCACACAGGTTTGATCACAACTAAAAACAATAATACTTCTTAAAATTGTCTCACGTGCTCGGCAAGTGGACCTATCTCTTACTACAATTATAAGGTTAAAGGAAAGGTATATTCCATATCACCTTTCAATTGCATGAAATTAGAACTAATCCCGTGTTTAGGAGCTTAGTAACTCTTGGTCACACATGTTTGATCACAGCTAAAAACAATAACACTTCTTTGAATTGTCTCACGTGCTCGGCATGTAGACCTATCTCTTTCTATTCCTTCATCCCTTTTTTACATAGAACTTAAGACCCAATCTCCTACCCTCTATTTAGCCAGGAAGACAACAATCCCAACCTATCCCTTGCTTTCCTTCTCATTCATTCAAACTGCTCCGTCTCCTCCCTCTTGCTGCTTGTGACGCAAAACCACCCACCTTAACATCATCATAACTAAGCACACACCACCAACCCATCATCTTCCTCTACCGATGTACAAAATATCGGTCGACAAATCAAATTTTATAGCAACTTCAAAGATATTTATATCTGTATAGTGTTTTTTTATTTTTAGAATTTTTCCCGATATACAATATCGGCTTATGTTTTTTTAAGGTTTTTTGGGTTTGATTTGGGATTTAGGTTTCTAACCCGACCCAGACACCAAATAAAACCCTCCTTTTACTATAGAAATTAATCGATCTAACGAAAATCCAAAGTCTTACAATTTCGGCGCTCGTCTTGCTCTCACTTATTTTTTGATCCTCTCACTCACTCTCTACCAATAAGCTCCCTCTCTGTTTCCGTCCTCTCTATCTCTCATCTCTGACCCCCTCCCCACTTTCTCTCTTAGCCCCCTCTCTCCATCCTCTCTCTCTCTCTTTGCCCTCTCTCTCCTGCCCTCTCTTCTCTCTCTCTTCTTTGTCCCTCTCCCCTCTCTCTTCCTCCCCTTCCTCTATCCCTCTCTACCTCTCTCTAATCTCTTTTAACGTTATGCACTTTAAGAGGTTCATCTTGTAATCAAGAAGAAAGTTTCTACAATCTGCTAGGCACCCAAAAGATATATCATAATGCAATTTCTTATGTTTAGAAATCATTAAATATGTTTAGATCACATATTAGAATGTTATAACGCAATGATAATTGGAAGATTATCTTAATAACTAAACAAAAAGTCATGCTCATAAAACGTTTTATGAAATGTCAACTCCTAATGAATCGTCTTTTTCTCACCGAATCAACCGCTGAGGGGGCCTCGATCGGAGCTAGGGTTTCCATCCTCCATCAAAAATCTAGGGTTGTTTGATCTAAGATTTGAATCTCATCCTCTCCGATCTTTGATTTCTTGATCTCAGCTTCGAGGTGTTTGCTTTCTTTCTTTTTCAAAAAAAAAAGAAAAAAGAAAAAAGAAAGAATAATAGTATGGATATATCTAGAGTTTCTTCAGATTTTTTGATTGGCCCAGTTGAGACTACTAATTTTGTGGCAAAAATGATTTGGGGTGAGTCCAATCCATCTCTTATTTCTGATTCTTTGTTCAAGCCCAAGCCCAGTTATTTGGAAACTAGGGTTAAAGAAACTAGGGTTAACAAGAATACTCAGGTTGAGTTTAATCCAGCGGCTGAGATCTTTGAGGTTGACAATCAAAACAAACCAACGACGGAAGATGAGGGTGAGTGGGTTAAAGTGGTGAAAAAAAACCCTAGATCTCAGCCTCCTCCCAAATTCCCCGTTGTTCCTCGTCCTCGCTTTATCTCTGCAGATTTTATTCGTCGAAATAGATTGTGTTTTCGCTGTGGAGGTTCAAATCACATGGCGAAGGACTGCAGAGATCCTGTGATTTGCTTCAGATGCCAAGAATTGGGGCATGAGGCGAGAAATTGTAGATCTAGAATCATGAATCATGGATCTGAGAATAGAGGGCGTGGTAATGGTGGTCGTGGTCAATTTAATGGTGGTAGTGGTCAGAATTTTGAAGGTCGTGGTCGTAATTTTGGAGGTCGGAATTCTTTTGGTGGGAGAGGTAGTGGTGGACGCTTTGGTGGTCATACTGGGAGATCTGATCGCTCGAACCCTTGGCAATGGAAGAGAGCGACATCCTCCTTTTCTTCTTCAAGAAATGTTGAGAGATCTTCGGATAATCCCCCTCATAATAAAGGGAAAAGGCCTCTCTCTGCTGTTGATGAGGAAAAATTACAAGAATCTTGTTTAATCTTTCAAGATCAAGGTCCTAGGGACTTTGGAGATTTGAAAGCAGAGCTCAAAATCTCTGGTGAGCGCCCTCGTTTTTCTGCAGCTGTCCTTAATTTCGAGGGGGAGGTAAACTCTGGCTTTCAAAAGTTTAGAAACTTTGCTATAGTTTCATTTGTTGAGGGTGGTAATGTTTCTTTAGAAAGACTAGAACTGGATCTCAGAGCTTTCTTTCCTATGAATAAACATTGGGATGTTAGATTGTTTACTAATGGTGAAGTTCTAGTGAAAATTCAACCATGGAAGCAAATGGAAGATCTAATTAAGATGGGAGTTATTACTTTAAGATCGTGCAAGATTAAATTCAGGAGATGGAGTGCTTGGGAAGGAAATATTGTGGAAAAAAGAAATTCCTGTGTCTGGATTAAATTGAAGAATGTTCCTCCACATTTGCGGAATAAGGAATCTTTTGAGTTAATGGTCAAACCATTTGCAGATCTAGTGGAACTTGACTCTCTTACAAGTGCATGTACAGAGTTTGTTGATGCAGTTATCTTGGTGAAATGATTGGAGTATATAGACATTCCTAAAATGTTAAAAATATTTGTGGGAAAAAATCAATACAATGTAGACATAGCTATTATGTCTGTCATTGGTGATATTAGTGAAGGAGATAAGAAAAAACAAAAGGTGGACCAAGTGGAAGATACTTTTCAAAGTTCATATAATGACAAATGGTTTAAAGGAAGAAATAATAGTGGATCTGGTTCTTCTTCTCATATTGAGTCTGCAAATACCTCCTAGAATGTTAGACAAGATTTGAGAGATTCTCCATGGGGTTCTCCTGCTGTCAGGCTTTGGACAGATGCTAAGAATTTTTATCAAAAAACAAAAAACTGTTTGGGAACCTTGGGTAGTTAATAAGACTCAATTGGGTGATGAAGAGCAAATTCCAGAAAGGGTAGATGTGATGGCTGTAGATGTAGATTCTTATCAACAAGAGAACAGATTTGAAGTTTTTACACATAAGCATGATGATTTAGGTGGTGAAGAGCAATTCCCAGAAAAGGAAGAAGTGATGGTTTTAGCTGCAGATTTTTGTGAACAAGAGAATAGTTCTGAGGATTTTACACACAAATATGAGGATTTGGATGGTGATTTTAAACATGAGGAATTTACAGGGGTTGATGGGGAGGAAGAAATTGATGAAGATAAAGGCAAAGCCCTCATTTTAAATGAAGATCATGATATAATCAATTGGCCTATTTCCCTACTTCCAGATTCTATTGAAGATAATGCAGAGAAGGAAGAAGAAATCCCCATGATTCAACCTTTGAATTCTTTGCCTCCTGAGGATTCACTTCCAAAAGTATCTTTTGTTAGAAGATGTTCCAGATTTGTTGATCTTGAACCTATGACGGTATTGGCCAGAGCTACATCCAGGATTGCTAAGAATTATGAATCTCATGGAGTTTCTACCAGTGGTTCAGGTGATAATTCTACTTCATTGGGTTCTTCTTTTGTGCCTATTTTGTTTGATAATTGCTCTAATAATCAATTGCAGAAGTTTGCCTCTAAATGTGCCATTGTTCTTGAGTCTCAAGAGGATTTTGATCCTTTAAAAAAGTAAGGCAAATGGAGGTAGAAAGAGCTACCAATGTGTAGGCTCTGGATTTATTTCCTGTGGGAGAGATTACTTGTTTGATATGTTGATTATATGGAATGTGAGAGGATTAGGTTTGAATACTAAAAGATTTGGGGTTAAGGATTTTTGTCAATTAAACAAATTTGAGATTATTTGTTTACAGGAAACTAAGTTGAATTGTATTTCTGATAATGTTCTTAAAAGTTTAGGGGGGAACATGTTTGACTGGGCTTGTGTGCCTGCTGAAGGAACTTCTGGTGGAATTTTGGTTGGATGGAATACTCTTAAATGGAGGAGTTTACAAGAGAAATCTGGCAATTATGTTTTAACAGTGGTTTTACAAAACAAAAAAAAATGAGTTTATTTGGACTGTTTCTTCAGTTTATGGGCCACATTGTAACAGTGAGAGACATTTTTTTTGGCAGGAGCTTAAATCTGTTAAAGATAATTTCTCTGGTCCTTGGGTTGTGGTTGGGGATTTTAATGTTACTTCCAATCCTAATGATAGAAAAGGTAAAAGCATTTATAGAAAAGAAATGGAAGATTTTAATGATGTTCTCAATGAATTAGAGTTGATTGATAGCCCTTTACATGGTAGAAAATTTACCTGGTCAAATAAAAGAAGATTCCCCTCTATGGCTAGGCTTGACAGAGTTTTTTTCAACTCTGAGTGGGAGGATGCTTTCCCCTTTTCAAAACAACAAGGCTTATGTAGTCAATTATCTGATCATGCTCTCATCAGTTTTGACTGTGGGGATAATCAACACTTTGCTTATAAATTCAGATTTGAGAAGATTTGGTTACAATCTGATGATTTTATTAAGAGTGTTCCTATATGGTGGAGATGTGCTCCTTCATCTATATCTGCTGCTAAAAATTTAGTAGGCAAATTAAGATTTATGAGGAAGTGCATTAAACAGTGGGTTCATTTAAATTTCTATTGTGTTAGATTGAAAAAAAAAGATTTGTTAGAAGAGCTTATGAAATGGGAGGTGTTAGAGGAAGACGGAGATTTAACAGATGATGAATTATTAAAAAAAGATGATGTCTCTTCTCAGCTGAATGAAATTTTATTTCAAGAAGAGCAAATGTGGAAGCAAAGGGCTAAAGCTCATTGGCTTAAGGAGGGTGATCAGAATACTGCATATTTTCATAAAATTGCCAATGGAAGAAAAAGAAGTAATTTGATCCCAGCTATTACTTTTAATGATGTTGAAGTTAGTTCTGAGGAAGGTATTGCTCAGGTTTTCTTTAACCATTATAGTCAGATTTATGGTCAAAATGTCTCTAATAGATGTCAACTTGATTGGCATAAACTTTTCCCTTTTTCAGACTGGGGTTCCAATGATCTTGAACATCCTTTTTCAGTGGAAGAAGTTCATAAAGCTATTTTTGACATGAATGGGGATAAATCTCCTGATCCTGATGGCTTCCCTGCTTTATTTTATCAAGTGTTTTGGGACACTGTGAAAAATGATATTATGTTGTTTGAGGAATTTTATGAAGGTAGACTTGAAATTAACAGAATTAACTATGCTCATATTGTTCTTATTCCTAAAAAAATGAGTCTTATACAGTCAATGATTTCATATTTCAGACCCATCAGTCTGCGTAATGTGATTTATAAAGTGATCACCAAAGTCCTTACTAACAGACTGAATTCAAAGCTTGAGATGCTTATTGATCCTGTGCAATCTGGCTTTATTAAAAACAGATTTCTCAGACTGAATTCAAAGCTTGAGATGCTTATTGATCCTGTGCAATCTGGCTTTATTAAAAACAGATTTCTCCTGGATGGAGTGGTGGTAGCCCAGGAAATCATTAATGATTGTTTTCATAATAAAAGAAAGGGAGGGATTTTATTAAAGCTAGATTTTATGAAAGCCTATGATATGCTTGACTGGAATTTTATTCTGGAAGTCTTGAAAGCCAAAGGTTTTGGTATTAGATGGATCAATTGGATAAAATTATGTTTGAATAATGGCATGTCTGCCTTAAACATAAATGGTAAAACAAGGAGTTGGATTATGTCTAAACGAGGAGTCCGTCAAGGAGATCCTTTATCACCCCTTCTCTTTGTTTTAGCAGCAGATTCCTTTACAAAAATATCACCCCTTCTCTTTGTTTTAGCAGCAGATTCCTTTACAAAAATGTTAAATCTTGCTGTAGATGCACACCTTATAGAGGGATTAGGTCCTAGCAGCAGATTCCTTTACAAAAATGTTAAATCTTGCTGTAGATGCACACCTTATAGAGGGATTAGGTCCCCCTAATTTGGTTCATAAAGTCCATTGTTTACAATATGCAGATGATACGTTGATTTTTTATAAAAATGATAGAATGCATCTGACAGTTTTGAAACTGATCCTTTATTGTTTTGAGCTTGCTTCTGGTTTACAAATCAGTTTTAATAAGAGTACTTTAATTGCTCTGGAAAATAATGAGTCTTTACTACATGATTTAGCTACTATGATGAATTGCAAAAGTGGTAAATTTCCTATTACTTACCTAGGGATTCCTTTACGACCTGGAAGGTTAAAAAAAGAAGATTGGTTTTTTTTAACCAATAAAATAGAGAAAAGACTATCTTTATGGAAAGGAAAATCTTTATCAAGAGGAGGCAGGTTTTTAACCAATAAAATAGAGAAAAGACTATCTTTATGGAAAGGAAAATCTTTATCAAGAGGAGGCAGGTTGGTGCTGGTTAATTCTGTCCTTTCATCTATGCCAATTTTTTGGCTATCTTTCTTTTTATTTTCATCTTGGGTGATTGAAAAAATTGATAAAATGAGAAGGAGATTTTTGTGGACTGTATCTCCTGATTTTAAGAGTTGTTCAAATTTGGTTAAATGGGAAGAAATTTGTAAACCAAAATTCTGTGGAGGCTTGGGAATTAAGAACTTAAAAATTATGAATAAAGCCCTTTTGGGTAAATGGCTCTGGAAATGGTTGGATGGAAAATACAGTCTTTGGAAACAAATTAGTGGTCATTTTCATTTTGAAAAAAGATCTTGGGCATGGTTTTTAAAAGCTGATAGATTGAATTTGTCTCATTTCTGGAGAGGTCTTTTTAATATTACTGACTGTTTTTTGTGCAGTTCACATGTTGTGGTTGGGAATGGAAACCAAACTTTATTTTGGCTAGATAAATGGGTAGGATCTTTTACCCTTGCTTCTATGTTTCCATCCTTATTTTCCCTCTCTTCATCACCTTGTGCTTTCATTAGTAGTATGAGAATTAATGATAACAATATTTGGAGATGGGAGATACAGTTTAGAATTCAGTTAACTGGAGATTTGGTGTTTCAGTATTTCAATATGTTGAACATCATCAATTCTGTTTCTTTTAATGATCATGAAGACAAAAGAGAATGGTTATGGGAAGCTAATAACGTATTTTCAGTGAAGTCTTTTTATCATTTCCTTATTGATGGTGGCCTAAGATTTGATTGTACAAACTTATGGGATCTTCCTATTCCTTTAAAGGTCAAATTTGTAGTTTGGCTGGCTCTAAGGAATGGTTTGAATACTACAGATATTTTAGCTAAAAAGGGAATCTCCTTTCAGAAGACTTGTTGTTTGTGTACCAAATCAGATGAAGATCATTCTCATTTGTTCCTGAAGTGTGAGTTTGTGTACTCTATTTGGAGATCATTTCAATTCAAGTTAAATACTGACAAAGATTTTAGATTGTCTTCTTTAAAAGAAGTTTGGATACAGTGGACTAGTGGATACAAGGGAGATTCTAATTTGAAGAGAAGAGTATTCATTTGCTCTCTTATATGGTGTCTTTGGCAAGAGCGCAATGACAGATTGTTTTCTAATAAGAAGAAGAGTTCTCTTGCCCTCTTGAACAAAATTGTGACTTTCTCAACATTTTGGCTAGGATCTGAGGGGATCTCTGCTCGAGCTGCCAGATTACAAGAAAGAAGAAGAAAAAGAGTTGATGGATTCAATACTGCCAAGGCTGCTGATTTTGGGAGCAAGGATGGTGCGGCTTCAGTGATTCATTTGGAATGATCCGTTTATATTCACTGGATTTGCTCTTGGTTTTGTTTGATAGAAGCTTTGTTCTTCTATTTTGTTTTTTGGTTTCTTCTGACAAACTTGTTATATCAGGTATTTGGGGGAGGTTATGTTCGTTTTTTCTTTTGTTTTTTGGTTTCTTCTGACAAACTTGTTATATCAGGTATTTGGGGGAGGTTATGTTCGTTTTTTCAGTTGTATACAGGGGATGGGGTACAAACTTGTTATATCAGGTATTTGGGGGAGGTTATGTTCGTTTTTTCAGTTGTATACAGGGGATGGGGTACTGCTACTTGTAGTATTTTCTTTTGAACTTTAGTGCATACTCTTGGTTGGGAGTATAAGCTTTTTTTGTAACAACCTCTTTATTTTTTTAATTTAGCTGGCTGAAATACCTTTGGGGTATTCCATCCTTATTCTCAAAAAAAAAAAAACATATTAGAATGTTATACTATGAATTAACATCATTCGATATGACCTGATATTTAAAATATATCCCCGACGTATCCTCGATTTTATCCGATATGGATTTTAGTCATCCGATATTTATGCAATATCCGATATCTAAAACAATGTCATCCGTCTTAAATTACGGCTTCTCTCACCTCCATTCTTAATTGTTCAACAACTCTCCCCTCCATGTCTTGCCACCACCAAGAGTTAATATACTGCTAAAATCATCTACACCCTCGTATCTCATGACTACTACACCCACAATTTGTTGATTATGGGTCTAAAGTGGAGGGATGGATGGTTGATATGAGTTCCGTGATGTCAAAGATTAATTATCTCTTGAGGTAGTACATAGACTATGATCTCCTTAGGCCAACCATGAGCATCGAAGTGTTAGATCCTGCTTCTCTGCTCCCTCTCCTTGACCATTTTAAATTATCTACCAGAGAATAATTCTCTAGCACGTGATCTTATTTCTTTGATGAACGGTTTACATTGTTAGCCTCTGATTAGGGTCTACCTAGCCCATGAGTGATATGTGCCAATAAACAAAGATGCACTATAAGTGCCTAAGTCCTATAATTCAAGGGACCTATATGCAATCAAAAAATGTATACATATCAAGAAGGTAGACACATAAAATTTCAATTAACTAATTTTTCCGAAAATAGGCTCTAGTTGGGTGACTTTTAGGGGAAAGTACTCTGAATTGTTTATAGTTAATGGGTCGGATCAAAAATTAAAAGTAACTGTTAACAACTCCTTTGGCAGCGATCACATACAAATAGAGATAGAAGCAAGAAGGCACGCAAAGACCAACATATCAATTTCCAGATAACAGTACTACACAAAAGGAATTAATTGTATGACATAAGATAGGATTGATAGCAAGAGATATAAGCAAACTATTAAAAAGTTCTATAATCTATACCATAAGCACAAAAGGCTGTAGTTACAACCTGCAGTTCAAACTTGTAAAAGAACCAAATGAACTAACTTTTCTATCAAGAATGACAATGGCACTTTACAGAGACCAAAATGCATTATAGAAGAACAAGGCACAGAAAAAGAAAATCACCTCACGGAAGATCTGCTTGACTGAATTTCTGAATGGAACAGCCAAATCTACTGGCTTATCTTTGGGAGTTTCTTCCAGGAAATCATCATCGTCATCCCTAGGTGGACGAGGTTCCAGAAGAGGTAAATAAAACAATAAGAAGGACCTCAGGGATGTAATAGCTAGGGACTTCAACTCAAAGGCTGAGAAGACAGGTTTTAGCTCTACAGGGTATTCTTTCGTTCTGTAATTAATAGACTCGCGGTTGAGTATATTTTCAGATGCTATTCGAAGACTAGGAATATATCCCTCGTCCAATGCTATGCCAGCATCACAATAAAAAATCGGAATTCCTCCATCACTGAAATAACATATAAAAATCATCAAGAGTGGAAGGCCATGAATGTGTAAAACTGTAAATCAACATGATTCAATAATGCATGAACTTAAGCTATACACTTTACTAGTATATACCATATGCAAGGGACCCCACGTTAAACAAATTGAAGTATCACCAAAAGGGGGTGGCTATATGAGCTATACAACTAAAATTGAAGTTAGTCACACTTTAAACTTCACAACCATATGAGAACAACACCCAAAAAAACTGAGATTTGTAAGGAACAGTTATAGACAGATGAATATATTGCATCTGGTATCTGACTTTCAAAATCAAGTTATCAAAACTTCCTGACCATTGCATTCATGTTTAGCATTCATGACGCAATTCTTAATTATCTTCCATTTTCAAGAAGGCACTTGTTCTTCATTGTCTAGGTTGTACTGTTGTAGCATGCCAGTAACACTCGAGGATAAGTTATGAGTTAGAAATACCATTACTACTACTACGAAGCCTTTATCCCTAATATTTACGGTTTGCAACATAAGTCCTTCTCTTCCACTCAGTTCTGCTGAGGGCTCTCTCCTCCACTAACTTAATCATTATCATATCCTCCTTGACTGCTTCAACCAAGTTCTTCTAGACCCACCTGTACTCCATCTTTCTTCATTAGTTATAACATTATCACTCCTCCTAATTGACGCATTTAACGGTCTTTGTTGTACATGACCAAACCATCTGAAGCTACCTCTCATTTTACCCTTAATAGGCTCAACCTCTAACTTCCTACGAATGCGCTCATTTTCAATCTTTTATATCCTAGTGTAAACCCACACGTTCATTGCAACATTCTCAGTTTTGCTACACTCATCTTTTTACTCATGATGTTAGCAAACGTTGAAAATAAAAGGAAACTGGGGCAATGTACAACTTGTTAACATTCGAGGAAAATTCAACTAAATATCCAGAAAAAAGAGATCAGCAAAGATAAACCTACAATATCAGCAGAAACATCTAATAACAGAATTCATGATGATTCCCCCCTCAATTCAATAACGAATTTTTACAAATAACCAAATAAAATATCATTAAACAAAAAAAAAATTACAAATAGTTACTCTATAAAGCCGCTCCCACTTCCTTTGTCCCTATCAAAAGATATTATACATAAAGATCTGATCTTTTTGCCGTAAACATCGAATTTCAACATAAAAACAAGAGAATGAAAGGAAAAAGGAAAGAGATCGAACCCGAAGAGAGCTCGCGAGAGAAAAGGTTTTCCTGCGGCGACGGAGGCGGCGGAGGCGGCGACGGTGGCGGAGAAGAGAGTGTAGGAGTGAAGAGATTGGATTGATTGGGATTGCTTTGCCTTCAACAGATCGAGAATTAGAGCGATGCCCGCCATTAGAGAGAAGGCCGAAGGGCCCTGAGCTTCCTCTATTCGTTTATTATGGTTGGATCTATTTCTTTCCGGGCTTATTTGAGACTAGTTTCAACAAGGCTTAAATATCAGCAAACCCCCGTTAAGTTTAGGGGTTATCAGTGAAAGCCCCTCCTCGTCTGCATAAAACATCCCTATGAGTGTGAAGTGCGAACACTGACAAAAATATTTATTGCATAATCTTATCAACTCATCTAAAAATTGTGGTTAACGGTACTTAGATGGTTTTCTAATGACCCCTAAACTTAGGAGAGGTTTCCTAGTTTTGAAAGTTAAGCTGGTTAACTGATAATCATCCAAAGTTCGCGGGGTTTCCTGGTATTTAGCTTGTCAATAAACCCCCTTACTTTCTCACTTATTGCACTTCAATACCTTCAATTTTATTTTTTTTCACTAAAATACCCTACAGTTTCCACGGTTTAAAACCATTAATACCTTTAACTTTTGAAATAAAAGACTAAAATACCCCTCTTAAATTAAACACTCAATGGTTAAATTCTTTTAACTGTCCCCTAAAAGTTGCTAAGCCCTAGAATCCCAAATTAGATTTTGTCCCCAATTAAGCTCAATTTTGAATTTTCAAGTTTGATCTATGCTAAATCTACAGAATTAACCTTGAATTTGGATCTTCTATTTGATAATCACTTCGACAAATTCTAGTCTCTTTCTTTTCGATTCTAAAATTTCAGAAACTTGAAGAAATAAGAACATATGATAATCGATTTTCATGGACCTTGTTGATTCTCTTTTTTTTTCCCCTTGTATTTTTCTATGGCACCATATTGATGTCAAGAGGAGAATCGAGAAGTGAATAGATCTAGGGTGAAATAAAGAGAAAAAAAAGATAAATAGAAGTTTATTTATTCTGCTATAATTAAGAATAATTGAAATGGTAAGCATGTCTTGCAATGGTTACATAACACTCCACAAGAGAATCTTTCAGAGACTAGTCTCTCGTTTTAAGTAATCATACTCCCTTTGAAAGCACGAGTTCGAGAAAATATTTTAGTAGACAAAAATAACCTTGAAATTCAAATACTAATCCATTAAGTAAGAGTAAGTTGATAAATTGATGAATTCTTATTGGATATACATAGTATGAAGATAATGATATAGTTTAAATTGAAATGTAAACCTGAATGAAAGAGCTCCCTTGCTCTTATATGTGATCAATGATCAAACTGTAAACAATTATTCATGTGCTACATGATTAATTATGCCAAACTGAGAACAATTATTCACATGCTATATGATTAATAATTACACACAACATGACGATCTCTCACCGACTAAAATTCAAGTAGTTCACGGTACGCTTACGTTAATTAGACGATTTATTAAATATCAAATTTACCCCCTTGCTCTTATATGTGATCAATGATCAGATTGTAAATAATTATTAACGTGTTACATGATTAATAATGCCAATCTACAAACAATTAATCACATGCTATATGATTAATAATTACACATAAAGTGGAGATCTCTCACCGACTAAAATTAAAATAGTTCAAAGTACTGCATAGTTAGTTTCAAATTAAATTATACTATTATTATTTAAATAGAATTATATTTATAATTGTTATCCTCTCACATGTAACATCATATACCAATATATAAGCCAAGAAATTACAATAATTTCTATAGCACTTTTATCTCCTTCTACAGGCATGTGCCTTTGTTATTAGATTAGACTAGATTATTTTAAAGTAATTAATTATATTGTATATTTGATCTTTTTTTAGATCAAAAAATTATAATAATTTTTACAGTACTTTTATCTCCTTCAACAAGTATGTGTCTTTGTTATTTTCTTCTTAAAATAATAGATTAGATTGTTTAAGAATTATGAATTATAAAATTACAACAACTTTCACAGTACTTTCATTTATTTTCTTATTATAAGATTAGATTAGATTATTTTAAAATAATTAATTATATTATATTTTGATTTTTTTAGATCACAAAGTTTAATTATACTTGATACGGGTGTATCTTCTCTTCAGAACTTAGCGATCCTCATGAGAGCTTGAGGATAGATGATTCTTATGATAGCATGAGAATAGATGTGTCAAACAGTACAAGGGAACGCAGGTTGGAGCGAGGAACGAGGCAGAGAATCAAAGATTCGAAGAATCCAGATTTCAGCCTGTGAGTCGACTCATACATGTACATGAGTCGACTCATCAGGGTGAGTCGACTCATGACTGTCAAGAGTCGACTCACGAAACTCAGCCGTTTTGTCAAAAGTTTCTGCTCGGTCGACTCATATACAGTTTTGAGTCGACTCAAGAAATCAAGTCCTGATAGCAAAAGTTTCTGACCAGTCGACTCATCAGTTATGAGTCGACTCATATGAGGTCATGAGTCGACTCATAACTGTTCATGAGTCGACTCATCGGAGATTTCCAGATTCGTTAAGGACTCTTTTTACGCGTTTTCCTGTTTGGGTTGGGTTTGGTTATTTACCACTTTGCCACCCTCGTTTGTACACCTATGTAAGGGATTGTTTTAGGGTTTAAAACAATCAGAGAGTTGAATCAAAAGAGATTAACTTGTAATTGAGATTTGGAGAGCTTGTTCTTCAATTCTAGAGTGAGATTGTGAGAGATTGTAAATTGCATACTCATAATCTAGAGAAGGTATTTTCCTTCGCCCAAACCTGAGTTATTCTTATGTTCTTATTATTTTCTCCTCAACCCACCTTTGATAATTTCGTAATCAAAGGTGCTCGTACGGCAACTCGTATCAAGTTGGTATCAGAGCGATCAGATCCTACGAAGGGGACATCCTGTTTATGGTCCTGACTCGATCGCAATACAAGAAGCTTGGCGAGATCCTTACTTCCTTGGAAGAAGCCCAAGATTTAAGGAAGGAGAATATGTCTGAAGCAGATAACTTAACAAGACTTGATGCTATGGACAAGCAGATCGAGACGATCAGTTCGACGCTCAGTCAGCTCGTAGGTCTCATTAACAAATGGGACAAAAGGGAGGAATCTTCTTCGAAGGGTAAGAAGAAACTCGTCGAGTCCGATGAAGAGAGCGAGAAGTCTGATTCAGATGGGGGAACTGAGATTGTTAGGACTGCTGGACATCAAGGGGGTAAAAATAATTACCAAAATTTGAAGATAGATTTCAAAGTAGAGATTTCTGTCTATGATGGGAGTGTCAATGTGGAGAAGCTCGATGACTGGATTGAGCGTATGGAGATGTACTTCACCCTCTACGGATATTTATCCAAGGAGAAGATAGTGTTTGCAACATTGAAGCTGTCAGGGCACGCGTTGACGTGGTGGAAATCCTATTGCAAACAGGAGAAGAAGGCAGCGTCGTGGAACAAATTTAAGGAGCTACTTAGGAAGCAGTTCTATCCGGTGGGGTTCCTTGAGGAGCGTTGCGTCGTGGAACAAATTTAAGGAGCTACTTAGGAAGCAGTTCTATCCGGTGGGGTTCCTTGAGGAGCGTTGGTACAAGTGGTACGGCTTGCGCCAAAGGTTCAATCAGACCGTTCAAGAGTACACGACGGAGTTCCAGCAGCAAGCGATGGTTCTAAACATCGTAACGGACGAGTATTCCATCTTCATGAAGTACATGACGGGGCTGAATGATTACATCTGTAAGGAGATGAAGTTGTTCACGGTCGAGACAATTGTAGAAGCGAGCGTGAAAGCAATTGCCATTGAGGGCAAACAGAAGAAGGGCAACGAAATGAAGGGTGATTCAAAACAATCGGGAGGCAAGTCTGGTGGTTCTCAACATAAGGAAGAGAAGAAGAAGGGTGATTCGGGGAAGGCATGATTGACATGCAATCACTGCAAGCAGACAGGACACATGGCTGATCGTTCCTCGGATAAGTACCCTCATCTAAAGCCGAAAGGGTTGAAGAAGAAGGAGGAGAAAAAGGCGTATGTGATAGCATAGGGTCCGAAAGAGGTTCCCGGGATGACAGAGCCTAACAACAGCCTCAACCTTATGGCAGGGAAACAGGCCACAAAAGAAGACAACGACCCGAGAGAGCAACTCTTTGTTCTGAAGTTGCAGGTCAAGACTAGCTTGGTGGATGCCATTGTAGATACAGGGAGTCAGAAGAACCTGATATCTGAAGCGTTGGTACAGAAGCTGAGATTGAAGACGGTGAGGCATCCGAAGCCCTATCCATTAGGGTGGATTCAGAAGGAAGCAGGATTGAGTGTGGTGAATCAGTGTATGTTCAGATTTGCACTCCATGAGTCGTATATTGATGAGGTCACATGCGACGTGGTTCCATTGGATGTTTGCCAAGTTATTTTGGGCAATCCTTACTTATGGGTAGACACGCGGTATATGATCGGCGGGCCCAAAAGTATACGTTCACCAAAGATGGCGCGCAATTTATTTTTCGTTTGGCATCTCTTCCACAGGAGACGAGTTTGGTGACGGTGACTCAGGCTAAGAGGTTGGTGAATGCGGGCAGGAAGTTCGTTTTATTGTTCATTCGGCCTTATGAAGAGCAGCTGAGTAGGATATGCTTGTCCACCTTGAAGAAGCTTCAGGAGGGAGATCTTGACAGTTTGAAGACCAAGTATGCGGACTAGTTTTCGGAAATCATGGGACTACCACCACGACGAGGTGTAGAGCATGAGATTATGTTGACCGGCGAGACTTCCTTACCAAACATAGGTCTATACCATACATCAGTACAGGAGTCTGAAGAGATCAAGAAACAAGTTCAGGAGCTCTTGGAGACAGGAGTGATAGTTTCGAGTTGTTCACCTTGCGGGTCGCCGGTGTTATTGGTGCTCAAAAAGGATGGAGGCTGGCGCATGTGCGTGGATTACCGGGCACTCAACAAGATAACGATCAAGAATCCTTACCCACTACCACGAATCGATGATCTTATGGACCAGTTGGAGGGAGCGAGGTTCTTCACGAAGTTGGATCTGAAGTCTGGCTATCATCAGGTGAGGATTCGGGAGGAAGACACTTGGAAGACGGCGTTCAAGACCAAACAGGGCCTCTTCGAGTGGTTGGTGATGTCGT